AAAAAAGGGAGCCGCAGGATTAATTAGACAGGCAAGCAGAAAGTTCTCAATTAATGAGAATTTGAAAAACATATAGACCACAATGTGAAGTATTGATAACTGTGTGGATGGATTTAGGTCATAGATCAAAAAATACTGGCTGTGTGACATATTGCTCCATGTTTGTTTGTGTTTAAAAAATAAAAAAGTATATATTCGAATAATTAAACTAGGGCTACCCCCACCTTTTCCGAAGACATTTTGTGGAAATTAAATTGGTGTATTCTGAACATTTTTCTCTTGTTTTTCCTGACATTTGCCGACATTGATTCCTATTTTTCAGGCAGTGGAGGCTAAACCCAAACACCTGCTGTCACTGTGGTCCCCATGCTCTTGTTTTGAATACAACAGTCAATATCTGCTCAGTAACAAACAAACCTTAATTAATTGACCATTTCTTACTAACTCTGACCTGACATAAACGTTGCTCCGTACCCTTCATTTAGTTGCGTTTCTCCTTGGATAAATTAATAGATATAGGTAAGAATAAACTTGCGTGTCTGATAAGAGTCGCAGAGCCTCTCGACTGCCGCTTGATAACAGATTAACTGTTTTGCTCTTGATTTATGTGAAAAAAATCTGCCAAACTAATTTATCAAAGGGGTTTTTTGTTTTTTTTTGTCTGTCAATTTTGCAAAGGGGAAATGTTTAGCCCTTTTTTGTATTTAAAAAAAAAAAAAAAGAAAAAAAATGAGGAATATATTTGGCCTGCAAGTCCTGAGAGGGTTTAAACCCATAGTAACGTGAGCAGGATTCTCTCCTCTGTGAGATTATTGTATACAGCTTTTTAGATTGTAAGCTCCTTTGGGCAGGGCCGTCTTCACCTGCTGTTCCCATATGTCAAAGTGTTTTGTTAGAATTCACTGTTTCTCTTATTTTACCTATTGCGCCACGCTGCTGAATATGTCGGTGCTATATAAATAGTTGTAATTGTACAGTCTATTGCCCCCTCTACACATCTCTGGGGAGCAAGGAGCTAAGAGCCAACAGATTCTCTATTGTAATTGTTATATTTGCTTTTTGAATACAGCTTTTTTTTTTTTTTTCGTTCTGAGACAAACCGGCTAAATTCTCATATAACCATTACATTCACATGCAGACCTATATGTACAGAAGCACGATGTAGTAATTGGCTTCATAGAGAGCTTGGTTTTACAGCATATGGATCAGAAATAATTTTCTTAATGTACACGTGTCTGGACAAAACATGCTTTTTATAATAGCATTAAAAAATAAAAATACATTTATATTTAAATAATAAAAAATACACAAACTATTATTGTTGTAACGCAGCCCAGATCCCCAACATATGCACCTTATTGTTTTACATCTTATAAATCAATAGATATTAAATATAAGCGATTCCGATTCTGCCTCCCTCTCCCCCCCCCCCAAAAAAAACCGTACCTTTTAAAAAAAATAAAAAAATCTTTTCAGCCTCATGCAGTTATATTGTCATCGCCGTCCAATTTGTTCCCCAGCTCCGTCAGCCAGACTGTGACACTTGGCTTTCTTCTGTAAAGACCCCGAGCAGCTCACTGCAGTTACATATTAACAGAGTGTTGTGCTAGCAGCGACGGTTTGCTTTCTCCTACCTGCAGCCTTTCCATTCACACCCTCACGGGAGCAGAGCTGTGCTGCATGTCCTTCAGGATATCATTAAAAACACACCGCCTGGGCAATTTGCATGGAAGCTCTGCTGAAAGATGTTTCAAGATCCTTCCAGCCGATGGTCCCATCTGATGTAATCTGTTGCACTCCGAGGCAGAGCTTTGCGTAGAGGTAGATTTGTGTGACTTTGAAGCTGCTGGTTACCTGCCACCCTTTGCAGCGAGATTATGTTACAAACTGTGGAAGGAAGAGATTGGTTATCAAACATACATAATTTCTGAGCAATTCTAACACTACAGGAGCCGTCTCCCAACCCTTTCACTGTCGGCGTATTGAACTATGTTTGTTCTGATTGCTTTACCTGTACTGCATGTTTCACATTTATAGGAGTTCTGTGGCTTTGGAGAAAAATACAGTAATATATATATCTCCAGATGAGTGCAGTTCAAGGAATAGCTAAAATACTGCGCAGAACCCTGACACTCCCAGGACTCTGATAGAGGACTCGAGAATAGAATGAGGAATATATATAAAATCTCATCACATGCCCAGCAAACTTCATCTGTTGTATTGGAAAAAATACGGTTAAGCAATGGATAAGCGTAGTAGATGCAGGTACCGGTGACCCATTAGAGGTGATGTGCTGGATTACAGCACTGAAATGATTAATTTGGCTACTAGACAGTCTAGTGCAAACAGTTGTTGTTGTGTTTTTTTTTTGGGGGGGGGGGGTTTAGTTTGCGTGTGTTTTTTATTTCTCTTTTTAACTCTTTCACACACAGAACAAAGTCACGTCCCTGTCTGAGAGTGGTGGGGTTCATGACATTTATATCCCTTTCCAATACTTTGGGTCACCAAGGATTTGTCTTTATATCCTAATGAGTGACATGTTTTCAGAATCTTTATTGATCACACACTGTACTGAATCACAATCTTTATTGATCACTGCACTGTTTCAGAATCTTTATTGATCAGGCACTGTACTGTATCAGAATCTTTATTGATCACTGCACTGTACTGTATCAGAATCTTTATTGATCACACACTGTACTGTATCAGAATCTTTATTGATCACATATTGCGTTGCACTGTATGCCATTTCCAGTGTCAGTCCATAAATTGTCTTATAGCGCCTTAACCAGTCATACCTCGTGTCGAATAGCTGCTGGTTCTTTGACAGTCCTGTGTGCAGTCTATTATAGCACTAAGTAAATGCTGGCTGCTGCAGGTAATGTCACCCAACTGTACATCAATCAGCGTCTGCTGCAGTTAATGTTGAAGGAACACGCTACCCTAACTACAGAGTATCATAGTTGTGTTTAGGAGTCTTTCGTTGCAGCCAAACACACAACCAAGTCTCTCTGCTGCAGCCGGTGTAAGGGTATACTCACTAAACTGAAACAAGGCCAGCAGTTCCCAGTCAGCTGTTTTTGCCTAAGTTTTGGGATTTGTTTTTCTGTTTCCTACAATTTCATATTTAGTCAATAAATCCAAATATTAGCCTTTCACTCTGCGTTCTCTGTCTCAATCTATATAATAGACAGGGGATATCATTGAAATATGCTACTGAGTTACATATTGGGTTCGGCAGTTTGGGATCACTAAATTGATTAGAATTGTTTTGGTTAGATGACAACTAAAGGCAGTTTTTAATGAGAATTTTCAAACATTAAAAAGTAGTTATTTAGAATCTTGTTTGCTCAACCCATGTCATGGGCAAGGGGTATTCAGAGGGTTCCATCAAAAATCTTCCTGACCGGTCCTGTTTTCTCTATATAATAAAGGACATGATCTGCAGATCACTTTTAGCTCTCCCTTACGTTCCCAGTTCTTTAATGTGACTCAGAGTATCGCAGCTCGGTTATCCAGTCAATGCTCTGAGTCAGTTAGGAGTGCTGGTCCAGAAAGGAGTGCTCTCAGCGATCTGCACCCATGGAAGGGGCAGTCAACATGCACTACCCACCAGAACACCATGGATTCTACTCCACCTGGACTTCCAGGGTTGATTGCCATCCTACAGCCCAAAAATAGGCAGGATAAAAAACAAAAATGTATTAAAGGGACACCATAGTCACCAAAACTACAGATTAATGTATAGTAAGTCCCTGCAGGCTTTTTAATGTAATCATTGTTTTTTTTTTTCCAGAGAAAGGGCAGTGTTTACATTTCCCTCTAGGGATACCTCCACTGGCAACTCATCAGATGGCTGCTAGAGGCGCTTCCTGGGAATGAAGACACTGAACGTTCGTTTATAGAGATGCATTGATTCAATGTATCTCTATGAGAAGATGCTGAGTTAGCCAGGGTGGAGCCAAACCTCCTTAACTATCTCAGCCAATCCAATGTAGCGCAGGAAATGCATCAACCTCACCCACTGCAGCCTACAAAGCACATACAATTGGAAATATTAGTTAAAGAGATTCTATAGTGCCAGGAAAACAAAGCTATTTTCCTGGCACTATAGATTCCTACAGTGCCCCCCTCAGTCGCTCCCTGCTTTCTGTGGTGCTGAAGAGGTTAAAACTCCTTCACTCACTTACCTGAATCCAGCGCCGATGTCCCATAGCACTGGATCAGGCTCCGCCCACACTCCTCCCCTGCTGACGTCATGCGCATGTTTGGATTTCCCCATAGGGAAAACATTAATCAAAAGGGGATTCAGGTGGTGCTGGAAATCCTCATACAAAACATGAGTTAGGCGACCAGAAGTCCGTCTAGTGGCTGTCTGGTAGACAACCACAAGAGGAGGAGTTTACCCTGCAAGGTAATTATTGCAGTTTCTCAGAAACTGCAATAATTACCACTGTACGGTTATGGGACATGTGACATTGCACCTAGACCACTTCAATGAGCTGAGGTGGTTTGGATGCCTACAGTGTCCCTTTAAATGACAGAGGGCAGAGACATGGCAGGAAAGCGTGTGCGAGTCAGATTGAAAGACACTGAAAGAGGGAAGAGAGATTGTCAGAGGGAGAAACTATGAAGCCAAAAAAGATGGGAAAACCGAGATGTGTGACAGCAACCGGTTCTTTCTAGGGTGGTAAAATTAGTGGCACGGGCCACGCAGCCATCCTGATTTCACTTGCACAGTCCCAGGTTGGGTTGTTTACTAACAGACGTCATTTTAGAAATAATTGTTGAATCTTTCCAGACATATTAAATCAAAAGAAAATACTTCCATGAAATCTGTGTACTTTTATAGACTTTTAAAAATATTTTTTCCTACTTTTCAGAGGCTTAGAAGCTGTTGTAGAATGCATTTAGCACCTGTCTGCATGAATAATGTGAATGGAGATCTGAGATTTGTTTGTGGTCTGTGTTTGCATTCTGAAAATTATCAAATTTCTAGCAACCGCTTGTGTTGTCATGTATGTTTTTTCAGAAGCAAATCTTGCCAACACCCTCAAACAAGCCAAGAATGTGAACTTAACACTCACATCATACAATACGTCTTTTTTTGTTCAATGTTTGCTTTAACTGTGGAAACCATGGAAGTAAAAAGATCTTTGGCAAGGTGTGTAGGAAATAATGGTTTTAAAATATTAAAATAAAATCAAAGTGCTATATAGATAATGCAATAAAACAATTACAAATAAAAAGGTTACATAGCTTTAAAAAGGTCACTCAGTGCACCGTCTTGTGGGTCTGCAGGCAGCATCCAATCAGAAACTGCTGTCGGCAGGGGATTATGGACTATGTAGTTGTAGCTTATGCCCAAACAACCAGGGTATCATAGAATGATTCGAACTTCAGTACATTGATAGCAACTGGACCTCAATTCTGTCGGCTCATGGATAGCCTGGTTCACTAGTGACGATGTGGAAGTGTTTTGGCTACCTGATCGCTGGCCCTGATGGGACTGTCTTATAGCAAATTGTGGTCTCTATAAGCCACACTCAGAAATTAGAGTGGGTGTATGGTGCTCTAAAGATCATGCAAGAACACAAAGTGGTTATGGTGCTTACACTGACCCTTTAGTGTCCTAAATACGAAGGAAGTTTACAAAACAATTCAAAAGGCAGGTCACCATAGTTCTCACTACCAGTGGGTGTTTCTGTGATGTTTATTGTCTATTAAGAATTCCCTGACATTAAGTGATATAAAAGTGTTGGGTGGTACTTGACTTGTCCCCAGATTTTATGGCTCTGTAAATGTTTTGACCAACCACAAAAAGAAGGCTAAATTTGTATCTGTGTTTGTTCGGTGATCGCCTATTCATTATTTAATTTGCTCACTCTGTCCAGCACTGGGATATACATATCCACAGCCTGTCCAAGAGTAGTGGGAGGTCACTATTAATTCAGTTTAGGAGAAGGTTGAATTATAAAAGGAGGCAGCAGCAGTCTCTATGTCACATTTATGCAGAATATCAGGCGTCCCGGTCTGCACTTCAGCCGTCAAACGGTGCAGGAAGTGATGAGTTGAATTGTAATGTAGGATTTAAAACTAACATCTACCAGTTGAAATAAAAGACAGACTAAATATACAGGGAGTTCTGTAAAGGTAGCAATTCCTATGGGAAAGCATTGGATTGGCTGAGATTATCAATTGTGATGTCAGCCAAAGAGGCGGGTAGGTCAGTGCCCGTGGACACTTGCAGCGCTGAAAATAAGGTAGCTTTTCTTACCTTTTAATGGGAGCAAAATGATGTTTATAACACTATAGGGTCAGGAATACACATTTGTACCTGACCCTATAGTGCTCCTTTAAAGATGTGAATCAGAAGTCAATGAATTAAGAGAGAGACAAAGAACAGCATACAGTCTAGTAATCTAATACCCTGACAAAGTTCACAAACTGAAGACAATAAAATGTTGCGGTGTGCAACAAAGGGAACAATTGAATCAACAGAATAAATATAAAGTTACCATATAATGGCAAGGTATAAATCAGCTGGACTGTAGATGTTGACATGTGGGAAAAATAAATAAATGAAAAGCATATAGTACAAGCACTGTATCTGCACAGAAGATGCGAAAACTGTATATAGTGTAATATGTATTGCTGAGTAAACATACTGTGAAAGTGTATCGTCCTGTCCTCAATAAAGAACAGACGTAGTTCACATCACAAAATACCACTTTCTTCATCAATGGCAGTGTCTCAGATGAGTAGATTTAAGGGGCACTCGCAATCATCAAAATCAATTCATGCTGTCCCTTTCTCATGGCAGTGTAACGAGGTACCATTTCTGAGAAATGGCAGCATTTACATTTTACCCTAAAACACACCAAAGGGAAGCGGGGTTTTTGACAAGCATGGGCCATAGGTCTGTAAAGCTTTTCTATGAGAACCTTCTGACTGCACAATACATCATTTGTGTTAATCCATTGGGCTGCAACAAGGTCAATTTTCTCCTGATTGATCTCCCCAGAAGCCGTACTGTTTTGCTACAGTTTGTAATGCATGCTGCCTCCAGGAATAGTTCTCTCCTGTCTCTTCTTGGCTTATTGGCCTCCTGTACCCTGAAGGATTCAATTCAAAATACTAACCCTTGCCTTTGAAGCTATAAACAACTTTACCCCCATTACAGTTCTTCACTAATTCATAGCTGCGACCCTTCTCGATCTCCCCGCTCTGCCAGTGAACTTCTCCTGTCCCCTGCTCACTCGCCCCCCTTCTGATAACTCGCACTTGCAAGGCGTCTCACGGGTGACTCTTTTATTTTAGAACAGCCTACCTACCCCCCATCAGGCTCTCATCTAGTCTTCAGTCATTTAAGAAGTCCCTTTTCAGAATAGCCTCTTGCTCTCTCTTAAACGGTCACATTCCACTCTCGCCTTTCAATTCTGCTACTTCCCACCTTGTCGGTTAGTTGCTTTCCCCCACATTGCCCTTAATATTGTGTTTCTATACCCCACCTATTTCAGGTTGTACTGATCACTAGACAGTCCATGTAACATAGACTGGTTGAAAGTGTGCTTTTTGTCACTGAATATCCCTGACTCCAGATTGACGTAAGGCTTGTGCAGCACAGCAAACGGCACTTTTTTGTAGTAGTTTCAGATTGTTTGAAGGGAGATCAGTCCACAAAGTCCATCTGTGGGTATAGAGCAGTTAAATGGGGATAGTTATTGTGCCATATCCGGATATCAGAGCCGAGGTCCTGAGCCAGAAAAGATACAGAGGATTATAAAGCAGATCACTTGGGTGGAGGAGAAACCAGGGCTGAAAAGTACATAAGTACAACCGACCAAGATGAGACTTGATAATCGAGCAATAATTAATTACAGACCTGGGTATAAATAAGTAGTGATGGGTGTTTACTGAAACGATTAACCCTTGCTATGGGGACGTTCTGGCACGCTAGTTATTTTACCGGCATCGTGAAACGCACTCACACTGGCAAGATAGATAATCTGGTTAATCTGAGTTATGCTCTGAAGCCAGCCTGTGACTCGTATTCTATCACTCCATTCGTAACTCTTTGCAGCAGCACAACACCTTACAACACCTAGCAAACTGCGCTCTATCAGTGTAGGACACTTTGTGAATGGAAAGAGGAATATCGAACCGACTGACCCATGTAGAGAGCACCAGCAATTTAATTATCCACTGCCCTCAATTCCTCTTTTTCTGCAAACTGCTTCAGTGTGCTTGTATACTCCTGTTTGCCATTCGAATCCCGATTTGCATTAAAAATACTGAACGTGATTTTAAAAGCTGAACTCTGTCTGCCGTGATGCTCAGAACAATTATGGGATATGTAATGTACAAACCCTTGTCAAGGTTACTTATTACTGTATGTCTAATTATTAAATCTGTCTCTGTCTCTCTTTTTGTGAAATGTCAGATTTGGTTGTCACACACTAATTTGCTCTACCCCAAAATATGTATTTCTATTTCTGACTTTGAATTTGAATGATTACCCCTTACATAATGTATGCCTGTCTATAGGAATGCACTCACTCTGTGTTACAATAAGTCATAGTAAAGGTTAGTGTTATCATCTGGTGCTACCCCGCATATTGATTATTGATTGGCTCCTGTTTGCACAGTGCGGAGCACGGTTCCAAGACGATGACCTAATTCTTTTAAACGGTGATAAGGAGGAAGTGCAGGAATTAAGGAGGAAAATGGAAGAACGAAGACTCAAGACCAAAATGGAGAAGGTTAGCGCTGCTTCTGAGCTGGAGCATTTATGCTAATATTTATACAAAGAAAAAACAAAACAGTGTTTAGGTGACCTACCCCACCACCTAAATCATCTGAGTGAAAGAGCAGTGCTGTAGAATATATATAGAACACTTAAACCTCAAAGCAACACAAGGGGACGGTATTATATGTAGAAAATAGAAGGAAAAAACACACACATCGTGTAATATTGACAATATATGGAATTGAATGATCTATGTATCGTATCAAGGCTCACATTTTATAGAGCCTTTTCAGATATAAGCTGTAAAAACAAAACTTGTCTGAAAATGCTCTATACAATGTGAGTTTGGATACGATGCTTATAACATTCGATCCCATATCTTGACAATATTACAGTATCTGTGGTTTTTTTCTTCTATTTTGTTTTCTTTGTATAAATTGATGGGTTTTTGGAGTGCCAAATTAAGGTTTTTTTCGGTAGCTTTACTTTTATCATTATATTAAGCACCTTGTTATCAAATCTTTTTTTTAAATTTTTTTTTTTTATTATATACTTATTTTTTTTACACTAATATTTATCCCTTTATTTGGAAGGAAAGGATCATAACAATGGGATTTATTCTTATCACATATTTTTTTAATTTATTTTTTTATGTGAAATAATTAAAAATTGGAAAGGAAAAAAAAAGGTAGGCGTTTAAACAAATAAAATATAAATAATTCGAAAAAAACAACTTAAATTTCATTTCCCTCCTGACAACCTGAATAGTTACATAGGACTAGAAATTGTAAGATATATGTATATATTCTCTTACTCGCCGGTGCACGGTACACTTACCAGGGGTACATTTTCACTTTGGAGCGTAGCATATCTATTTCTGTCGCCATATCCCAAAGTCAAAATAGATTTGTGCATTTTCCCTTATTTTGGAAATACCTGATCAGGTTTAAAATTAGATAAATACAACCTTGGAAAAACACATGACATATTACACAGTGTCGTGATTTATTTAACAAAATTAAAGCCAAAATGGATGTCTGGGGGGTGAGGGGTTGCATTTCGCAAACAGTTTTTAGAAATCTTCCCAATTAAAAAAAAAAAAAAAAAGTATAATGAAATGCCTGCATGTTTTTATTGGGTGTATATCTACTAAATAGTGATGTTTGTTTACCTTTAGGCAGTGTGGTGTCACTTTCTCTTTGCTCCAGTAACTTATTAAAAACTGTCTTTTTCTTTTTTTTTTGTCTAGAAATCAAAGAAACCCAAAGCAGTGGAGTCCACGTCACAGAAGGATCAAGGCATCGAAATAGGCAATTTCTTGTTTAAAAGAAGAATGGGGGGGAGGGGGGACTTCTGAAAAAAAATCTGTGTTCTTTGTTAACAGTTTCTGTCTTTTTCCCAATAGATCTTTCCAGATCCAAAGAAGTTTCCTCCGGAAGTAAAAGTAACCCCAGAGACCGGATTGATTTTGTTTCCAGCAGCAAAATGAGAGGTTGGTTTTGGGCTTTATCCTTTAAAAAGGACACTTGAATTTCCATAACTAAGTCAGACTATTGTGATCAGCCTAGTGCTTTCAGTCATTATTAATGTCATCCAAGTTTGTGTAGAAAATGTGGAAGTAAAACACTCCACTTAGTGGCAGGACATGGGACAGGCTCTGGGTGCTAGAAAAGTTTTGTGTTTTTTTGTTAAACCGTTTTCAGGCAGTTTAACAAAAAAGCTTTAGCTGCAGGAAGAAAAAAAAAAACAGATAAATGTGATATAAATAATTAGTTTTTTTTCCATACTTACTTGCTTCTTTTGCCTTGTACTTTCCACTCCCCTCCTTAGGAGGACACTGATATAGCCAATCTGTGTCCTATACTTAGGAGTAGGGGAAAGCTGAATTGTGTTGTCCATGTTCGTGTCTACCTCACAACGTTACTGATGACATGTAAGGTCATGGGCCATTCGTGACCGTACATTATACACAATCGCAAGCGGCACTTCCATGCCTACACACTGCCGGCAAGGGGGGAATGCCCTGCTGCTTGCCCAGTGTACTCCCGGCTGCCGTGCCTCTCCATTCAATGCCACATGTGCTCCACTCCACCCTGCAACACTCTCGTCCCCCTGTCACAATCACTGCACAGTCTGAGTGTGAGTGAATCTGTGCAGAACATTGTATAACTCACTATATATTCAATACGAGATAATATACATCTCACAGAAACAACATGCTTCCAAGGTAGGAAACAACAACATGTTCATAACCCAAAGACAAACAATATTCAATACGAGATAATATACATCTAACAGAACATGCTTCCAAGGTAGGAAACAACATGTTCATAACCCAAAGACAAACTATATAACACAAGAGAAATTATCTAAAGCATATATTACAAAATATTTACCACATAAAGGACAAAGAAAATACGTGCAATGCTCCCTTGTCAAAGGCTGTGTGCCGAAACGTTGGGTTTTTTCTTTACTTTTGTGACCTTGGAAATCTCCCTCTTCTCTTATTTTTCTGTACACATATTTTCTCAGTTTTGGAATTTGTGTGGTATGTATTTTGTAATCAATGCTTTAAATTATTTCTCTTCGTTGTGTTATATTGTTTGTCTTTGGGTTATATACATTGTTCTTTCTGGACGCATGTTTTTCCTGTTAGATGCGTATTATCTTGTATTATGATTAGTTACCCCATGGGCTGATATATCTACGATGCATTTTTTTTTTTTTTAGACGTTCGTTATGGATGTTTTGTAGATATTATTATATTAGTGTGCGCTCCTTTATAAAACAAGTTTTTCCTTATCTAAACCTGCCGTCTCCGCCAACCTTTTTTCACAAGGTCCTCTTCAGTTTTGGCGCTTCTTCTGCCAGGAGTTGACATCGGCGCTATACTCTCGCTCCTGCAATGATATCCTCCATAGAGAGAGCCTTTCTCACCTCCGCCATCACTCGGTGACCAGTGACAGAGCTTGACGAAACGTAGCTCTGCCTTTTGTCAAACGTAGTTCCATATGTTCCATTCCTAACACCATGTCAGTTTGCAATATCTCTTAAAGACAAAGTACACAGTTTGAGAAATACAATATTTGCATTTGCCATAACAGTAGGAAAATACATAGGGCAAAGGAGTCACTACAATGACTTTTGATATCTTTCAACTGGGTTTCAGTCTTAATGAGCATTTCATAAAGATTTTTTTATTACTTTTATACCTTTGGGGGAGGGATAACATGCACTTTGTAGAAACTATAACATATAACCATCATATTTAGGTTTTTATTTGTACATTTTTTTATTTTTTTAGCCGAAGAAGGTTCAGGTTCGTCAGAGAAGGCTACCAAATTGTCGTCTGCCACCAAGAGACCAGCACCTGCGACTGATGGCAAGTCTGAGGCTTACAAATCCATCTTCTCCTCCCACAGCTCGGCCAAACGTTCTAATGATGAATCGTGTAACTGGATCGCTCAGTCTACGTTCTACATCTAACCGCTGCCAGCGTTGTGGACCAACCGCGCAAACACTACCGCTAGCCAGGAGAGCGTTCATATTCCATACTGTTATACATACAATAAACCAGTCATTTTCCTTTATTATTTCAAATGTTTATTCCTCCAATTGCAAACTGCCCAATTTATATCTCCAAGGTGTAGGTCCAGAGTCAATGCCTTTCCCCTAATTGTGCAGTTTTCTTTCTTTGACCCTTTCATGGCTTCCAACCTTGGTCATTAGGTGGTTAGTGAATTGTCTGCTCCCTATACCTTGGCGTTTACCAAAATCCTGATTGTTCTTTTAGCCTATTGTACTAAAGGTGTATTCTAATGACCCACAGTCCATTCATTGGTTTCATTTAAAGGAGTATTTTTATTATGTCATTGAAATACAGTAATCATTAAAATTGTCTGTACAGATGTTTTGTAATCCACTTTTTTTTTTGGAGTGTAACTAAATAAATACTTACCTAGCCCTTCCATTGTGGTCCAGTTACACCATTTGTATTTGAGGGAAGCTGGGAAGGTTTGGAATTAAACTTGTAACTTAATAAAATATATAAAATATTCATTGTGTAAGGAAATTATTGTTTAAAGAGAAGTTTTTATGCCAGGGTCTCATTAATGACTGTCATTAAAGTAGCTGGCAAATAAGCAAATGGTGGGTCCCTGAACCCCCTAGTAACCAAAAAGGACCTGGTAATCTGTACCGTCCTGTTCCTAACACCGGCAGGGTAAGGATAAATAATATAACAGAGAAACCGCAGCAATCACCACTTCTCCCAGGATAAATTAGAACTAATAAATTGGGGGTGCAGAGGGCATCCTATATCTGAGGTAAGGACCTGCTCAATGGTGTGCCCCTCATCAAATGTGTGGAGAATGGAGGGCTAAAATATAAACACATGACTTTAATTAATTAGTACCCATTGTACAGCGCTACGGAATTTGATGGCGCAATATAAATAATAATAAAAAACATAATTAACCCCTTATCAGCAAGGAGCTAGCTTCGGACACCTTCCTATTACACATTGCTTAGACATGGCAGTGTCGCCGGACCCCCAATAAACATGCAGGGGGACGCCTTATAGCTGGTAAATAAATGGAAATAGAGGTTTTTTTTTTTATTTTACCTGTAAAATCAGTCTTTATTTATTTATTTTTTACTGGCCTAACCCATGGCTGGCATCTGATGCCTACAAATAATCTTCAACCAGTCTTAAAAATGGTCATCCTTTAAATTTAAATATAAGGAAAAAAAAATATGCCCTAACCCCTTAAAGGACCACTATAGTGCCCTGAGGGTGCCCCCACCCTCAGGGACCCCCTCCCGCCCAGCTCTGGGGAGATGAAAGGGTTAAATCTTACCTTTTTTCCAGCGCCGGGCAGGGAGCTCTCCTCCTCCTCTCCGCCTCCGATCCTCCCATTCGGCTGAATGTGCACGCGCGGCAAGAGCTGCGCGCGCATTCAGCCGGTCTCATAGGAAAGCATTCATAATGTGTGTTCTCACTGTGATTTTCACAGTGAGAATCACGCAAGCGCCTCTAGCGGCTGTCAATGAGACAGCCACTAGAGGAATTGGAGGCTGGATTAACCCTATTAAAAACACAGCAGTTTCTCTGAAACTGCTATGTTTATAAAAAAAAAGGGTTAATCCTAGAGGGACCTGGCACCCAGACCACTTCATTAAGCTGAAGTGGTCTGGGTGCCTAGAGTGGTCCTTTAACGAGTTCTGACCAAAACAAAATGTGGAATTTTAGTTATATGTTTGTTTAGCCATAATTTACCCACACTTATTATATATTATTTTGTTCAGGAGAAATAGGGCTTTTGTTTCACATCAAATGTTTATATATGGAACACAATTTAATATGAATGAAATCTAAAACAAACAAATGTTACAAATTAAGAGTTTTTTTGTTTTTATAAATTCTGCATGGCATTTTAACAGTAAATGTCGTAATACTGTTCACTTTTACTGCAATAAAACTTGCATTTGTATGCTTTGATGTCCCACGGGCACAGCGATTTTCCCCTTGTACAGGATTCATGGTGTTTTGGAAAGTTACGCCGTCAAATAAAGAGCTTGCGTATTTTAGTTTTTACACATTGAAATTTGCCCGATTGGTTTGCTTGGACTGTGTTGCCTTTGAGACTGTATGGCAGCCCAGGAATGTAATGTATCCCCATTATGGCTTACCAGTTACAAAAGTACACAATCTAGGGTTTTTAGTGGCTAACGTTTGTGTTTATTTTAGTATTTTTGCATTTATTACACAAAACTGCTCTTTCTGGGATATCATCATTATAATATATTTTACTGCGCTAATACAATATTGTGTTCAGCATTGTCTGAGGAATACAACATTCCTCCCTCTGCCCCCCACCATGTACAGGTTTCATGGTGTTTTGGAAAATTACAGGGTCAAATAAAGAGCTCACCCATTTCAGTTTTTACACATTGAAATGTTTAGGATTGGTTCCAGAAAGTTAGTGTCAAATATATATATTGCAAATTATATTCTCTGGACAGGTCTTTTAATAAATCATAAAATCACATAATACAGAAAGTGTGTGTAGTTTTTGTATATATTATATCATATTCTATATATATACATTTTCATACTTGCTGATGTTTTCCTGTCCTGCAGCTTTGCTATAGGGTTAGTTCCACCTATCACTCCTATCGAACCGGTCTAAAGCCTTGGATTGTAAATAGCCCCATGAATGAACCATAATGCCGCAGTTTGTAACAAGCCAACGACCAGGGAGGGATAGTGCTGCCATGGTCCATTGCTGAGAAAGGAAAATATTGGTAAGTATGAAACAATTTTCATGTCAACACTGCTCTAGGGCAATACCCAATCTATAAGACCTCGGGGGTAAGATAAGACACCACACCAGAATGACTGCTAAGAATTTATTAAAAAGAATTAGCGGCTTGGGAAGCTGAATGGACTGCAGAGCTGAAGTCAGACACTTTAGAAGATTTCCCATCTGGTTGATCGTGTCGAATAAAGGTGTTCTAGGATGTCCATGTAACTGCTCTGCAGATCTGATCAGAAGTGACTTGTGCAACAGCTGCTGCAAGTCTTTGATGGTGTGGCTTCAAGGCCCCAAGAAAACAGCCATAACCTCAGCTGGGTTGGCACTTGTAGGATGAGTTAATGGAGGGGTCTGGAGGCAATACACAGTCTTTTCCCTTCTACTGTAAGATCGCTACATGTATCGCAGCGGTTAGGTCTTGGTCCTCTCTCCACAGGTGAAACTGGGAATCTCAATGGAGACCTGAGTGAACTTACATCACATAAATGACAGAATGCTCTGTTTTGAATCCAATATGCCGAAGTAAGAGAATAACAAAACCTTGACATACCTTGTACCTCGAGATTGTGACCTATTTATTTTGCTATCTGGGGAGGCCATGATGAAGATCTCTTAGCGGATAGAATAAAAATCGCACATTAGGGTGACTAGCATCCAGAATGAACCTAAATGACGAAAATCCCATAATTCAACAATATAAGACTTGTTCCAAAAGACATATAAGATATCCATGCAAAAACGTTCTTTGTAGGACACTCCCCATTTCATTGACAGGAATGTTCAATGTCCTAAAAATGTATATTCTTCCAAGAATACTTTACATGCTGACAGTGCTACCGATACATATACCCAATACCTTTTTCTGAAACCTTAACTGTGTATGGGTAGGAGACCACGACCACGCCAAATAGACATATATAGTGCCTTAAATAGCGGTGGACTTGGCTTCCCTGATGCACAGAAATATTACATAGCCAATGCTTTGATGAGAATTAGAGAACGGACTTTAACAGACTTAAATAAACCTTGGAATATCCAGGAAGTGAGCTTCCGTACTCTACTAATTCAGACACTGTCTTGGCATATAGCTAACTCAACAACACTTTGTCCACAATATCGCTATTTATATGTTGTAGCCACAGATCCAAAATGGGATAATCTCCCTGTTCACCATTGCTCTCTCTTGCACATTACCCATATATAGGGTGAGGTAGAGGCAAGAAATGCCTACAAAATTCAAAATATAAACAAAGAACAAGTTAGCCCTGTGCTGCAGATACTCCACACTAAAGTCCCAACAGTGTATAAACAACCAAAAAAACAAACACGAGTCCTGCGCGTCCAGTATAGGTGTGCACACCCAGGTGCTACCACAATTTATTGAGGACAAAGTTAAAACAGCAAACGTTTTGAGCAGTAGCCCTTTCTCAATGCTAATGTCCACATAACCCATCCATAACAAAGGATCTTGCTGTCCTCCTGCTTCCCTAATAAACAGAATATACAAATAAAAGATGTTCTCACTACCACCTCTTTATCTACACTGGAGTAAAGCACTTGCATTTGTAGATAGATTGAAACATAACCAGCTATTACATTATTTGCAAACTCTACCAAACCCAGACAACAGAATAAGACTCCCTACAGACTTGTATCACACAAACGCGCCTTAAATAAATGATCTTTGAGACATATGAAATAATACGGACCTCCCTGCGGAACTCGCTCCCTTCCATACTAAACTATGGGAAAATGATCTAGACTTGATCCTTTCCACATATCAGTAATACATTTTTTTAAAATTAGTAATGTACTCCAAACACTTGGAGGTCACTTTGAAAGATCTTATGAGGTGGTACCATACACCAGATAAACTACGGATGGAACCCGTCCCCATCTGAGGTCTGTTGGAAGTGCGGAGCAAACAAGTGTACATTTATTCATATCTGGTGGTATTTTCCACCATTTAAAAAATTCTGGGAAGATATCATTCCTCTCATTCAGTCAAGTAGTGGCCACCAGATATCATTCAGTCCTGCAGAAAGTTTAGTCCTGCATACAGATATTTCTATAGCTAAACTGAAAAAATCTTGCTTACCACTATTGCTACTAGTGGCAAAGTTGCTGATCCCCCTTCATTGGTGGTCCCCTCAAGTACCCCCAATAATGGAATGGAGACAAAGAGTAGATAGTAAGCAGATGGAAGAACTAACTGCCTTTCCCTAAACTCGCATTCTCATAAAATATGGCACCCATGGGCACTCTATGCACCACTGGCATAACACAACGCCTCACTGGGTCCAACTATACTCACATAGGGCCTTCTCCCTGACTAGCAGACCTTCAGCGAATAATTCTAACCGCTTGTAACTTCCCTCATTGAAGCATGTACCACTCATGGTCGCAGACAACCTGAGCATTTTCTTTTACTCTTTTAACTAGTGTTATTGTAACGTTTTACATTTGGTACCCTGTAATTAAGGTATATTTTATGTGCAATGCATTTATTAACTCGTATTGTACCACTTCCATGTCTGGTATCCTGTCATTAAGATGTATTTTATTCAATGCATTTTCTGACTTGTACTGCATGCCTTAATATTTAATAAAACATTTAAAAAAAAATAATTGTAGGACTTTAACTATTTAAAATCATCGAGAACTCAGGCCGAATATAAGCAAAATTTGCAGAGGAATTACCTAACTCGGAAGAGTTTTCTGTGCATGTGCGAAGCGCTAAGCCCCATCTGAGACGCTAAACACAAGCACCCCCGTTGAATGGATCCCGTTCATTCAAGCAGAAATTTATCACCAATATATATTTATACAACATGTAGGGTTCCCAGCTGCTAGCCATGGGTTACAGCAGCA